TAATGTAATGTAATGTAATGTAATGTAATGTAATGTAATGTAATGTATGTATGTATGTATGTATGTATTTTTCTCCTGAAGTTGAAAGTGCGGGGGTTGGCTCCATTGGCCGGTCGTTCTATGGCGGCTCTGCTGGCCTCATGGTCTCAGAAGTAATCGACGTTGATTTCCGGGTCATGGGCCTGCTCGTTCTCCTCCTCTGCTTCTTCATTGCTCGAGGGCATCGCTTCATCAGCAGCGTGTGGAGTCACGGCCGAGAATCGGAGCTTCTTGGGCACTGGTGGTGAGAGTTCTTCCGTGCCGTGTGAAGCAGGTGCTAAAGGAACCGGCTTTGGCTGGGCTTCATGGCCGGTGTTGTGACCTGTGGTGGCCGGTGGTGCCTCTGCAGCTGAGCTGTGCTTGGGCTCTTGTGGCTCTGTCAGCCCTTGGCTGGAGGGACTTGCTTGACTGAAGAAATGCGCAAGAGTGGGCGAGGTCGGTTTGTGACCTTTGCACTCTCTCTGGAGCCCTTTTGTGAGAATCAGGCGGTCTTGTGCATCTAGGTGGGTGTGTAGTCCACATCCTTTGCATTGGATGCCCTTGCCGATCTGCCACAAGGTGTGTGTCCCATGGGCGGTGTGCTCCTGGGAGAAGGGTGCATCAATGCACGTGCTGTTCAGGAACTGATTGAACAGCTCTTCATTGGCCCTTTTGTGGATGGCTTGGTTGCATTTGGTGCACTTCAGGTATCCAGTGGTTTCCTGGAAGTGGTGAATCTCTGGCGTGGTTGGATGTTCATGCTGGAGCTGAAGTAGAGAGGCAATGCGGCTCGCTCGGGTTGGTTTCTTCCCCACTGCTCTACCAGGTGGTAAGTCTGGTTCCGGGGCGGGAGCTGTGAGTTGCGCACAGTCTTCCTGGAGCCGTTCTTCAATCATGGAAGCAGCCAATCCCTGATGAACTCGGGTTTGGCAAGTGTGACACTGGTAGCCGCTGCGGTGGGCCTTCCATTGGTGTTTGCCCGGTTGCCATGGCTGCTGGCACTGGGCGATGAGGTTCTTTTTCCTCTGTTTGGTCTTGTGGCCAACAGCTCGGCCAGGTTTGGTGTGCAGGTAGTGGTCCTTGTCGTCGTAGATTTTGGCCAATCGAGCGGCGGCATGTTTGTAAATCTCAAGGTGGTCTTGGTCGAGGATGCGCTGCCAGGCTTCTTTGTCTGGGTTGTGGATGCTGGTTGCCCGCTCCCATGCCGCCAGGGCTGCGTCCCTTTGTCTCTGGCGTAAATGGGGTTCATTTCCGGGGGCGTCCGGGGTCTTGTGGTTCTTGTGGATGTAGAGGGGTGTGATCAGAGTGAAGTACTCTGCAGGTTGCCCCTGGACCAGATCATGGAAGCCCTTCCTCTTAGCCGGGTTGGTCCAAGCTTCCCAGACCGAGCTCACCTGGACAATCACCCTGGTTGGTGTCTGGATGAATTGGGCTAAGGTGAGGAGCCCTTGGAAGATGGCCCTGGCTTTCGTTTGTGGTCCCCTCGCCATGCCAGTGATGGTGCCTTTTCGTTGTAGGGCTCCCAGCGAGTAGCCGTGAATGCAGAGGGCGTAGATCCATGCTTGGGCTCTTTTGTCTCCGGAGGTGGGAGTGGCATCAACTGTGACTGAGAGTCCTTGCCACGGTTGGAGTGGAAGTGGTTCAAGGGACTGCCAACAGCCATGTCCTTCCAGTTCCAGTGGTCGATGGAGATGATCTTGTGGTTCTTTTGGTATCCACCCGTATGCCCAGAGGGGTTCTTCCAGCGGATCGTGCAACCTTTCGGTCCAGGGCACGAAGTGGCTGGTGCTTTTGGTTGTGGTGCCATTTGCAAAGCCACAGGATGTGTTTCGGTGTTGCTGGAACTTGACATAATGGACACTGTTTGGTGGCAGTGTCATCCTTGAAACGGATGGCAGCTTGGTTCCAAGTGCGGATGTGGTTGGCCTGGACCTTGCTGATGTGTTTGTTGACTTTGGATGCCGTGGTCCAGTCAATCCCGCTGACAAGGGTTTGACAGTTGCGTCTGCTGGCAAAGCGATGCTGCCGCTGTTGTTTGGCCTCAGCTTGGAGAAGCTCCTCAACCTGCCACCATGGTTGGCGAAGATCAATGTGGGCTTCAGTCATGAAGGCAGTCTCATTCCGGCGCCATTCATAAAGGCTCTCAGTGTGCCACCCCCATTCTTTGAGATAGGCCAGTGTCGCGGCCATGGGCCCTTTGACGTGGTACCAATGGTACTGCTGTTGCCGGAGCTGAGATTGCAGGTCCATCCATGCCCGTTCAACATGGGGTAGGTGTTCCGTGGGCCAGTGTGTGATGAGGGCGTGGAGGGCCTGGACATGTTGGATGACCACTTGGTCTGCAGGGTCCAGGTATTTGGTCTGGTTCTGGTCGTAGATAACGTCAGAGAGTCCTCCGGAATGAAGGCCAAGATGGGTAGCCAGAGCCTGCCGGAGGGCCTGCCTGTAGCGAGGAGCCAGTCCCTGGCCTTCGACTCCCCACAAAGCAACAGGTTGGATGCCTCCTTGATGGAGCCGTAGCCTGGTACGGAGATTGGGGAGCCGCAATGTGCGCAGCTTGATGCGACGCTCCTTGTTCTTCTTGAACCGGTTCTGGAGGGTGCTGATGCGGCGTCTCCGACCAGCTTGGTGATCTATCCCAAGATCTCGCATGACCGATTGAATAGGAGGATCTTCAAGGCCAAGGAGTTTGGCCAATGCTTTGTGGGTGGCTCTGTCAGTGACTATAAATGCGGTTTTGTGGTTGTTGACTTTGAGGCCAGCTTCAGTGAGTTGCGACCGCAGTTCATGCCAGGCCTGCACGATGCGGGTGGCCAGCGTCTCAGGATTGGAATGGCTGCCATCAAAGCCAATGTCATCGACCCATCCATTGAGGTGCAAGTCTGGATGTTTGGCTTGGAAGGGGCTGAGGATTGGTTGGAGGAAGGCTTTTGCCAACAGTGGAGCCTGAGGGCAACCTGCAGCAACCCCATGGGTGACATGGAACCAATGGCTGAGCTCGGCATCTGCCAGCACTGCTTTGGGCCCTGTGTAGACCTGCATCGCGAACTCCAGTGCTAGTGGTGGGTAATCCAGTGCTTGTGCCACTGACTGGAGCTTCGTGAGGTTGATAGTGTCATAGAAAGTGCTCATGTCCAAAAGGACGGTGATGCCGTGTTGTGCCAGTGTTTTGTTGCTTTCTTGTCGGAGTAGCCTTTCGAGAGCAACATGGAGTGCAGTCGCGCCAGGGCGTGCTCTGTCATAGTTCATGGATGGAGGCAAGTTGAGTTGCCAGCTGTCAAGTATGCTCTTGCGGAGCCGGCACCAGGTGCGGTAAAGGACGCTGGTGAGGGTGATTGGGCGCTCCACCTTCTCGTTTTTGGCCAACATCACAACCAGGCTCATCTGGAGTTGGGTTGGCATTGTGGCTGCTTTCTCCATGTCCTGGAGTAGTTGGAGCAAAGTTGGCAATGCCTGAGGTGGTGTGTTCCTCAGGAGCTGTGTGCTGATGGCATCGGGTCCACAGGCTCGGTCAGGTAGTTGTTTGAGGGCCCGGGCCAAGTGGCCTATCGTGAGTGGCGGTAGTTGGGCAGCTTGTCGTTGGGCACTGGCCTGGATAGAGTCCCTGACCAGGGGTTGGTTGTCATGGGGTTGGTGCCAGTCTTGGAGCCGATGCCTCATTCGGTCGGCCATTGGGATATCGCGGTATGGCCGTTGCCAAGCGAGCTCACTAGCTTTGAGGTTCCTGAACAGCCCTCGAAGGCCTTTGGCTTCGCCTTGACGGATCCAGGCAGCGTATTGTAGTTGACCCTCTGTTCTGGATTGCTCAAGGGCCTGGGTGAGCTGATGTTGGATGGTGTGTTGCATGAGCTCCAGCGTGCGGGGATCCTGGTGGTGGTGCCAGTGCTGTGTCATGTCCAGAAATTGGGCCCAAGCTGGTTCTCCCATCCAGTGCTTGGGTGCCGATTCGGTTGCTTTGATGAAACCTTTGATGGTGCCATGGGATGGGTGTTCGTGATGCTGGATGTGGTTCAAGCGTACCTGGAGCTGTTCCCAATAGGCGGGCTTCCCTTTCTTCCACATTGGACCTGCTTTGGTCGATGTGAGGGGTTTGTACTCCGCTTGGAGGTTGGAGGCACGCCCTTGAGGTGCCCAGGGGTGCTGTTGTAGAAGATATTGTTCAGTGACGGAGACCCAATCTGCAAGTTGCTTTGCCGATTGATTGGGCATGGTGTCATAGAGCAAGACGTCCTCGACATGTGTGACGTATGTGGTCCATGGTCGAAACCCGGGATTTGGCCTGTCTGGGAGTGCCGGGAAGGTGCGCAACTGGTTGTAATTCCTGAAGTCATCTGGCAGTTCAAAAGCATAGGTGACCAGACAATGTGGCCGCCAGGGGACTGCCCACTCCGTTGACATTGAAGTAAGAGGGGCCAGCTGGTTGTGGATCAAGGCATAGTCCAGCACGTTGCCATTGAGGAGGGTAGCATCTGGCGCCAATCTGCCAGTGGAATTTGGATCCCAGGACGGTCCCTTGGAATTGGCTTGGGTGGCTGTTCTAATCTCCCAAAAGGATGTACTGTCTATTGGATGCTTCGACCAGAGCCAAGAGTCGCCCAAGGAGTTTGGAGTTGGTGGGTCCTTGGATTGTCTCGTTGGTCTTGAAGTAGACAGCGATGACGAGAATGGACCTGGCTTTGGCTTCCCAAAGAAAGGCTTGGTACCCACATCCTTCGATGTGGTAGTTCTCCAGCTGAGTGACTCCATGGTGGTTTGAGTGGAGGATGAGGATGCCTCCATGATTACCATCATTGGTACGGTTTGTGTGGGCTGGCAGGCCGAAAGCATGTTTGCCTC